CACTATTCCGCCGAAGCCCAGCAAGTTGAGGGGAGATCTCTCCGTACACGCGAAGACGAAGACATAAACACCGACCAAGCTGAAGAAGACAGGGGTCTGTTGGACATGTTTTCGTCCAGCGTCAGCAAGGCCGCTTCCAAGAAGTATCTGCGAAATTCAGAGTTGTACGATGATATCCTCCGTGACAACGTAAAGTACTATGAAGCACTTGCCGTTTGGAAGACACAGGAGTATTCGGTTGGCGAAGTTGAGCGTGCCGTGAAGAAGCTTGGTAGAGATTCGGACGAGATCACATACATCACAAACGGGTACAAGGCTTTCCTCGAGAATGGCGATATACGGTTGCAATAGAGCAGGTAACGTTGATGAACGCACCTAGTAACAAGACGTCCAGGCAAGGAAGCCTCGAAAGAATTGGAACGGTGCAAAGGTGGCAGACTCATTTTTCACAATACACAATTCGTTGCGAGATATCCTCTTGTGATCAGACAAACTCTTATTTTTGCGAAGTAGCAAGATTCTATGAAGCACAGTACTGGGCCTGTTCCGCACATCCAGATTCCAGCTGATTGGGGCCATTTTAGCTGATATTTTTCATCCGGCTGGTCGCTAGAGAATCCGCGCGTTCCGCATGCCAATTCTAGCGGATTTTCAGACGAAATCTGCTATAATCTAAACGCCCGAATTCAGGCGGATGGAGCTGATTGAGGGATGGGTGCCTGCAAGGCCACAGGTTAGCCAGCGGGCACTATCTTAGTTAGTGCCCACTAAGACAAAAATGATGATGGCATTGCCAAAAAAAATCTGCCAGCATGGCAGGTCTGAGCTCTGCTTCTCTGACGATACACAAAGAATTTAACCCTTGGAAGTGGTAGTGCAGGTACGAACTACGTGTAAAACACTAAAAGTTGTACTAAAACCAGTTCGAGTTTGGGTATGCCCGCAACTAATGATCAGTACTATTTAACTTATACAAGCGACGCGCACATCCAGGTGGTGTTCGTGGCTTGTTCGCTTATGAACAGTCGTGGAATGCTGCTACATACAGAGATAATCTTTCAACCCATCTTGCACTATCGGGGCTTTGCAGAATATCGAAGCCAGCACATTGGGAATGATTGAGACCCAGGATCCAGGCAAAGCCGCACTAGGAGAGCCATCGTATATGCATTACACTTACAAATGTTTTCTTTTAGTTACATTTTAGAGTATAATGTTTACGCTGACGTTCACCGTAAACTGTCGTCCAGTTGTC